TTTTATTGTGGACATAATAATAAAGATTGCAGGGCAAAAGGTCTAGAATACTCACCCAGAGCCAATCGGTCCTTAACAATACACCACGCTACTCAGCTCAGCACAAGTTCTCACAAATCTCCTCGCATAAATTGCACTCATCTACCCTCCCAAACTCTCAAGAACTCCAACATAAACCTAGGAAAAAGGTAGCCTAGAAGTTCGCTCCTCCAAGGGAGAAGAAGAGAACTCTTGGGTTTTCTTTCCAACCCTCAAAACAATTGTGGAGAGCCTCCAAAGGCAGCCAAAATATGTTTAGGTCGTGCCCTAACTTCCCTCTTATAACTTTGGCCAAAATCAACATGAAAAATCTTTCCAAATTATGTTCTAATTGTCTGGTGGCACAAGTGCATCCAAAAGCGTCGTGAGTGCGGCAGTCCAGGCACGGGAGCGCCAATGAGTCGGCATGGGTGTGCCAATGGGGTGGCACAAGTACGCTCGTTCCTGTAGAGTGTCGCGTGTGCACTCGAGAAGCAGCGCATGTATTCCATGCTCACTATCTTGCGACTTGGTCGTATGCAGGTCCGAAATGAGTGAGCCACTTGGTAAGTGTAGGCGCACGGCATATAAGGCGCGAGTGTGCTGCCTGACTACAACTTTTCATCCATCACCCCTTTTGGTTCCCAATTTGCCCCCTTTACTTTCTCTAAGTGGCGTAACCCCTATAACATGCACAACACAATAAAAATAACTTTCTCAAATGTAATATCATGATAAGTAAGAAAAGTTACATGATATTTAATGCACTTAAATCACATAAATTTACCTCATATTAACCCCCCCCCCCCCCCCCCCCCCCCCCCAAAACTTACTTATTACTTGCCCTCAAGTGATCACATATATCAACGAGGACTAAAATAGTAATTGGAGTTCTCATGTGGTTTTCTTATTTTTTAACTAGATTATATAAGTGTAAAAAATGATATGAAAATTTTACTTCATGATAGGATTTTCATTAATTTCTAATAATCTAGTCCTTTCTTTAATTCCCTTCTTCATAAATCTAAACAAATCTCAAAACATTTAATTTAGTGTATTAAATATTTTTGTTTCTCAAAGATATTTTAAAATCGATTAAGAATTAACTAACCAACCCAACATCACTTAACATCTTTTTTTAATATAATTTCTTAAGAGTTTCAATAAGAAAGTTTTGTGAAGTCTTATTACTTAAGAGATAACTAAGACAACAATTTTTTTTTATTTTATGCCCACCTCAAGTTCTGTCTCAGGGCGGTTGGCCATTTGTTTTGATTTTCTTTTAAATCGGGTCTTTCACAATTTTTTTATGTTTTATTTTTTTCTATTCCACTGAGAATTACTATATCTAGTAAAGCACTTTTCTTTTAAGAACTTTAAATATTTAATCTCCCTTAAGTGATAAATCTCAATTTTTTATTAATGTGAACTCTAAAATATTACAGTTCATTCAAAAGTTAAAACTCAATCAAATCGGTTATGTTGAAATTTAAAAGGCATAAAGTATCTTTGATTAACTATTAATATTTTAGTTACACTTTTAATTATTTTGAGACTTTTTTTTAGACTTTTTAGGATTCAGGGGGAAGTTGTTAAAGTGTAAGACTCAATTATCAAAACATTAATTTCAATCTCGTATTTTAATTAGCATTCACATGTCAATTGAAGCCATTACAGATTTTATTTCAGTTATCATGATTCCTAACATAAGTCCCCACTTTAAAGCATAATCAACAGTTCAATTACAAGATTTACTTCAAAGCAAGTATACAAGTATCAGTTTTTTCCCCAAACTAAATTTCTATGATATGCATTGCACAGAAAAAATTATAAGAAAAGACGAGCATAGCATGTAATAATAGTGAATTAATGCTAAATAATTCAACATAAGAAGACATTATAGCATGGAGATCGATATATGTAAAGAAATAACCCGGGTAAGAATATCACCAAAACTCATGAGACGCTTGCATAAGCATTGAAACCAAAACACTCAAAAAAAAAATTAATAAAATTCAAAGCAAATTTCAACACAAATGCAAGAAGAAAACATGCTTTAAACATAAGATAATGTTTGGGTTGTCTCCTAATATAGTGATTGGTTTAATGTCCTTAGCTTGACCTATGGTCAAATCAAGCCTACAAGGCTTTAAGGATCAAAATTCCATTTTAGCAAGCTCCAATCACTCACCCAATCTTTTGGTTACCCTGGAATTTTAAGTAAATCCTCAAGTTCAAAATTCATGTAATTTTTTTTTTCTCATTGTTTGATATTGGTCTTCTAGAGTGTATGTAAAGGGGTTATTCATATTATCCTTCATAAGGGTATTCATAGATCCAACATCCTCCACATAACCTCTTCTTTTTGTAGATCAGTACTTTCTTTACAAATTGAAATAAATTGGTCCCTAGAAGGTAAATCAGGGTTTCCTAAATCTGGGGTTGGATTCTCCCTAGGTTCTTCAAGCTCAAGATCTAACACTACTGGGTTACTCTCCTGCCAAATGCCATCTTCAAACTCTTCCCTGAGGGCCCTTGTATGGGTGATCTTATAAGCTCAACTATCTCCCTAACAACTCTAAGGGTAACCTCAAAAAGAAGAGCATATACTTCCCAAGTCATTGTCCAACAGAAATCATCCAACACAGATTGCTCTTAGGGATTCAACTCTTCATATTCAAAATCATGGTTATCTATTACTCCTGACATCCTTTGGGATTCATTACTTTTTAAGTTAGCTAACTACCCAATTTGATATTCTATTGTTCTCAATATTGTAGTTTGGCTTTGTAATTGATTTCTCAACTTTGCTACCAATTCTTTAGAATGCTCGTTTCCTTCAAGGTAGTCACTATCTCGGTTGTTTCAATATTCTTTAGGATTAACTTGGGGGCTCCACCACTATTGGCTTTCTACACTAAGATTATTATTATTCCAAATTAAGTTTGGGTAGGTCATCCAACTGGGATTATAGGTATTGAAATAGGAGTAATCAAACCTAGTTCCTATGTCAGGATGTTCAAGACTCATTTGTTTGCTAACCATTAATGGGTTGGCATGCTCCTGAAAAGCTCTAATTTGTTTTCCTGAGAATTTATCATTCCGAAGTGTTGAAACATTTTCTTTATTTTGATTTTGATTTTTTTTAATCACAACCACAAAAGATAAAAATATGGTCAAAAACAAAAAGAAAAATTTTAAAAAAATTAAAACTAAGACCTAAATATTTCAACTAAAATTCTTCTAAGGTTAGAAAATTTTGACGACTTCCTCCGGCAAATGCGTCAAAAACTTGATGTCTAAAATTATTGTGATGCAAATTGGTCAATCATACAAATATATGTGTAGCTCAAGTAACATACGGAAACGAGACCGCATATCGACCCCATGAATAAAATGTCAAAATATTCATAGCAAGCGAAGTTCTAGTTTACTAAACCGTTAAAATTAGTTTGAAAGGGCAATTTCATATAGAAAAAGTATAAAGCTCTGAAACAAAAAAAGGACATCAGATTACACTTTTGTCAGGTTATTCAAATGTGAAAAATTCATACTCCTATGACACTAGTTAAGTGGTTTCTCAAAATTTTCTTATGGAACCTACGCTATTGTTGACAACCAGGGACAAAAATTTCTCCTTAGCCTATGCCTAGGTCATAAGAAAAATTAAAACCACTATACAATTAAGTTTGGCTTAATCATAGAGTGCTTCTCAAGATACTTCAGATCCCTTTCTTCAGTTCCGAAACACTAATGATAATATGCTTATATCAATAGGTTTTTGTCGTTAACTCATTCGTTCTTTCAGGCAACGAGCAGAAGTCCTAGATCACAAGTGATTTTAATATTTAATCATATATGAACCTAAGTAAATTAATACCGGAAAGTTAACACATTAACAAACTAAATTCATGCACTGAGAAAGCTTCGAGGCAACAAAAATCCACAAAATAAAACAAACGAGAAAACCACATGCCTTACATCACATAAGCATAAAACAAAGATAATCACAACATATAGGAAAAGAAAAGTTGAAAACCTTTATTGCAATCATAATAATAAAGATTGTAGTGCAAAAGGTCCAAAATACTCACTCAGAGCCAATCAGTCCTTAGCAATACACCACGTTCCTCTCTATTCAATACAAGCTCTCACAAATCTCCTCTCATATAATGGCAATCACCTCCCCTCTCAAACTCTCAAGAACTTCAACATAAACATAGGAAAAAGGTACCCTAGAAGTTCCCTCCTCCAAGGAAGAAGAGAATTCTAGGGTTTTCTTTCTAACCCTCAAAGTTGTTGTGGAGAGCCTCCAAAAGCAGCCAAAAGATGTTTAGGTCATAGCTTTGGCCAAAATTGGCATGAAAAACCTTGTCAAATTGAGTTCTGGTTGTCTGGTGGTGCGGGTGCGACGTTGGGTCGGCGCGTGCGCACCAGCCCCAACGCTGGAAAGATTTTATACTCATGTTATCACTCACAAATGGCACTTTGAACCATGAAATAACAAGGCATACTGCAAGGAAAACATCAACAACTCAAACGTTGCCATACAAAACTTTCAGAAGAAGATGATGAATCTTAAAATTATGAAGAATATTTCCTAGAATAAAAATTCAGGTTGTTTCCTAACACCTATACCAAAACGTTGGCTTTATTAACAGAACATTTATTCGGTGGACGGTTAAATTATTCTAAGAAAATAATCAGGTATAAGAAAATATTTCTGCATGCATATAGGCATATTAACTGGTACGTGATATTATGCATTTTAAGTCCTAAAAATTAAAAAAAAATCAATAAAATAACAGGATGAATTCAGTACCAAAAAATGCAAACAAAACCTAAGCAGTAAAATATCGATGGAATTTTAATACTACGAAAATAAAAAACTACTAAAAGATTTGGCACTAAAAGAAAGGAATGTATTACTTTCAATAAAATAAAAAATATTCAATGGATAAAAGCAGGATAACAACTCTCACCTGCTTGTTTGCATATACTAGTACAACTGCACCTTTCAATTCATCCTCCTGTCATAGAAGAAGTACCTTGTGATTGTCCCCATTGAAAAAAAAAACAAAAATGCATAGTGCATCACTAGAATGTCTTGAATAGCATTGGTAGAGCCACAAGATAGCTAGGGAAGTCACTCCTCGCCCATAAACTTTTACTAAACTCATTAATATAATATAATGCACTTAACTTTTTGCCTCTTAAACTTAAATATTTAATAAAAATTTAATATAAGAATATTTTTTATTTAATAATAGTACTTATAATAGTTTTTAAAAAAATTAAGAAGCTAAAAATTTTAAACTTCAATAATCATCACCCCTTAATTTTCAATTTCGCCACCCGTCATTAAGTTCAAGCTTCGCCACTTTAGAACTCATCCTCATCCATGACAACAAGAAGGGCAATACCGGTCCTCATATGGATCTAATTCATTAAAATTTAATGCCTTGGATTTTTGTTGGTGAAGTATACCTTCAAACTAATGTAATTTCAATTGTTTCATTTTTTTTAAGCAGAGTCAAGTAAACCATAAGTGTCTATGTTTCACCATAATGATCACTTGCTTAAGAAAATAGAAATATATTACTTAATTTCATGAGGGTGGCTCAAGGTCCATAAATACATAAGATTAATGAATGCAAATGTAAGGTAAACACAAGGCCAGCTGTAGGTATACAGATGACAAACAAGATCAATTAAATCAAATCTATTGGATCAGGAGAGACTCACCATAGTTGTGTCAGCGAAGATAAGCTCCTAAGACATCAAGGTTAGGAACCAGGAAATATACTATATGAGCCAAAGCCCTTTGGTAATTTCATCATCATCATCACTATTTTTCTTGCTATTAGGATTAGTTTTATGAATCCTCACACAACATTGATTCTTATCGAGTATTGCATGAGATGTCAACTTTATTTAGCATAAATTTTTATGAACAATTTCTAGCTATTGCAGCTTTGGTCTTAACCCTTTTTCTTCCTACGCTAATTACATTTTATTCCATTAATGTTAGTGCTCGAGACCGCGTCGCGAATCGGCGCTTCCCGCTTCGCTCCCGATCGCGAAACTCCCGCTCCTCTGTCGCACATCTCCCGCGACCCTGCGGTTACGCGAACCGCTTCCGCCTTCCTCTGTTATTAAGCGAAGCATCCCTTCGCTCCCTCCTGTTCGTGATAGAAGGTATCGCACGGCGCTCCTTCAATTAGAGAAGTCACGATTTTGGTGTTCTTCTTCGGGCTTCCTGGGGATTGAGGATAAGTGCAAGGTGTAGTTCCTTGCGGTGAAGGAAGAAGAAAGAAGAAGAAAGAAGAAAAAGAAGATTGTTCTCCCTTGGCTTCTTCTTGGTGGCTTGAGGCAAAAGAGAAATGTGGTTTAATTCTCTTGTAAGTTTGTCTTCCTCGGTGTATCTCGGTGTAGAGTTTCTTCGGTGTACCTCGGTGTAGAGAGAGAGGAACAGAGAGAGAAGAAGAGAGAGCAACGAAATGAGAGTGAGAGATTTGAGAGATTCCTCTTGTTGTAAGTCGAGGTGATCGACTGGTGTAAATTCATCAAGTAGTAAAATCCTCTGCAACTCCATAAATATAGGCTATTTGCCGAACCACGTAAACATGTGTGTTCTTTTCTGATGTGTTTTTCTTCACCCTGATTTCTCAACAACTGGTATCAGAGTCAGATTCGGATCTAAGGAAGAATAATGGTTGCAAAAGAAGTGAAGGTTTCAGGGATCAAAAAATTTAATAGCACGGATTTTGATTTTGGAGAATGCAGATAGAGGACTACCTCTATGAGAAGAAACTCTATCTTCCGTTATTGGGGAAAAGACCTGAAAGAATGAATGAGGCTGGAATTTGTTGGATCGACAAGTTCTGGGAGTTATTCGATTGACCCTGTCGAGGTCCGTTGCACACAACGTCGTCAAGGAGATGACGGCTGCAGATCTCATGGCAGTCTTATTAGGTATGTATGAAAAGTCATTGGCGAATAACAATGTGTACTTGATGATACTTGATGAAGAAGTTATGATAGCGGAAGGTGTTTTTGTTGCTCAACACCTGAATGATTTCAATATTATAACAAATCAATTGTCGTATGTTGAAATTGATTTTGATGATGAGATACGTGCGCTAATATTGTTGACATCGTTACCAAATAGTTGGGAATCCTTGAGGATGACAGTTAGCAGTTATGCAGGTAAATTTAAACTGACATGCGATGATATTCGTGATTTGATTTTGGCTGAGGTGCGCAGAAATGATTCTGGCGAGATCTCAAGTACGAGTTCGGCACTGAATGTTGATTTCAGAGGGAGATGTCATGACAAAAACTCAAATAAAGGGAGATCAAAATAAAAGTCTGGTCAGCAGGCAACCTACTGGAATTGTGCAAGGCTGGCCACCTAAAAAGGAACTGCAGTAATCCTAAGAAGAAGGAGAATGATGGAACTAATGTTGTAACTAAAGAGATACAGGAGGGACTATTGCTGGTAGTGTTGTTAATAGTTCATAGTTCTGTTGATGATGAAAGTGGAGAGAAGAGTGAGTCTGAGGCACCCATTCCTATTGTTCCACAGACATATGGTGGAGAACCACAAAGCTATGAGAAAATCTTGCAAGGTGAAAGTTCTAGCAAGTGGGAACTGGCAGAACTTCAACCAAGGAAGAATGCATTACACAACAAGTGGGTGTACCAGGTGAAGACTGAGCACGATGGCAGTAAGAGGTACAAGGCTAGACTTGTTGCTAGACTTGTTGGCTAGACTTGTTGGAAAAGGCTTTCAGCAGAGGCAGGATATTGCCCATGTAATGGGAGGTGTAAGCAGAGACAAAAGTAATTCAAAAAATAGCTTGGAGGTGCAAGACTATTTGGACCCTGCTGATATATTGACTTAGGGTATTACTCTTGAGAAACTGAAGTTGTGCACAGTTTCAGTTGGTCTTCTGGAGTGAAGACAGGGCTTTGAGTAGCAGAAGTGGAGGATTCAAGTTGGAGTACTCAAAGTGGAGGATTCAAGGTAGAGGATTCATGGTGAAGGATTCATGTGAAGAAAATGGCAACACCGTCAGTTGAGGTTATCAGTTTGAGGAAGAAGATGTTGTAGCAGGTGTATCGGTCTCCAATTGGGAGATTGTTAGCGCTGGAAACCGCGTCGCGAACTGGCGCTTCCCGGTCCCGCTCCGCTCCCGATCGCGAGACTCCCACTCCTCTGTCGCGAATCGTCGTGGCATCTCCTGCGACCCTACGGTTACGTGAACAGCTCCAGCCTTCCTCTGTTGAACAGCTCCAGCCTTCCTCTGTTGTAAAGCGAAGCATCCCTTCGCTCCCTCCTGTTAGTGATAAAAGGTATCGCACGGCTCTCCTTCAGTCAGAGAAGTCACAATTTTGGTGCTTTTCTTCGGACTTCCTCGGGACAGAGGACAAGTGCAAGGTGTAGTTCCTTACGGTGAATGAAGAAGAAAGAAGAAGAAAAATATTGTTCTTCCTTGACTTTTTTTTTTGTGGCATGTGGCAGAAGAGAAATTGAGTTTATTTCTCTTGTAAGTTTGTTTTCTTCGGTGTATCTCGGTGTAGAGAGAGAAGAAAAGAGAGCAACGAAGTGAGAGTGAAAGATTCCTCTTGTAAGTTGAGGTGATCGACTGGTGTAAATTCCTCGAGTAGTAAAATCCTCTGCAACTCCGTGGACGTATGCAATTTGCCGAACCATGTAAATCTGTGTGTTCTTTTCTGGTGTGTTTTTCTTCGCCCTAATTTCTCAACAATTTCTTATTAACACATCTTTTATCCTTTATTACATGCTAAAACTCCTTAAATCTAGCTTCCACTACCTTCAATAGGAGCTATGCCCACCATCCCTCCTATATAATCATTTCACAAGCTATCTTTCAATTTTTCCAACATTCATCTTAACACTCATTTATGCCACTCAATTTGTCTGTCAATGACTTTTTATAACCCAACATTAGCTCAATATAGTATGGTCAATCTAATTGTAGTTTCAAAAAAATTTACCGTGAAGTTAACAATATGGAAAGGTTAAAATTCACACGGGGTTACACACATAATTATGATATAATATTAAAATAACTGTTTGATCATGGTCAATTCAGGCTAAGAATGATTCAAGAAAGTACTGAAAAGCTAGCCGCGGACCTCCAGGATAGCATGAAATTCCTCCTTTGCTGTAACCAGTCTGTCAGTGTCACTTGAATCAACAACATATATGATAGCTTGGGTATTAGGAAAGTAGCACCTCCAATATGGCCTGCATAAAAAATTGAACAAAATTTTATCAGCTAAGCGAAGAGGCGAATCTATACAATACTTATGATGCTTTCATGGATAAGTTCAAGGAGCATTTACATACATACCACACAATTCTTACGTATTTACATATCTAACACCTAAACAATCAGATTTACATGCATATAACTCAAATCTATAACATCTCATCAAAAATAACACCATCACAACTTCTTTAAAAGTAACATACATAATTTCATGTATAAGTTTATGACACCAAAGTCTTAATAAGTGTGAATATCAAACTTTACGTGTTAGATATGTAAATACATAAGAATTTTGTGGTATGTATGTAAATTTACCTATGTTTAAAAGTAGTCAACCACGCAGTCATCCATAGAATGATTGTTATCAATGCCTAAAAAAATATTCGTAATGAAAAGCATATTTCTTCATTGGCATAAAGAGAACTGAACATGTAAAATTATAAGCAAAAAATGTTAAGAACTACTTTAGAGTTGAATAACCAACATGATATGAGATGTCTCGCAATGCACAGCTACAGGCAAATCTGCCAAAACATTTTCCCATCAGAAATAATTAATGCAAGAGTAGACGAACTAGGATTTTATTAACTGTAGCCTTTTCATGCATGTGTCAGCCAAATTCATTTTCCTTGCATTACGTTGGAATTCAAATTTCTCAGTGAATGATACTAGAACTTTACTAACAAGACTAGCTAAAAAGGAGGAAACTATAGAGAGAGAATTTAGAGTAAAAAACTCTTAAGGTTTTATTAAACAATCAAAAGTACCAAGACTTAGGTACACATGATTCTATGTACCAGGCTCTCCCCCTAACCCATAATTTATAGGATTAAATCTAGGCTTAGCATTAATAATAAAAGCTACATCTGAGCTATAAAAGAAATAAAATATATAGCAAAACTAAAAAAATTGCTTGTTGTAATATACATGAGACATGTAGCCCATGTATATGGAAAGGACAGTGTTCAATTGAGACCGAAGTCCCTAACAATCTTCAGTTTAATGGGCTGAATAAAGGCAAGTATCATAAGAGCTTGGGCAAAATTGCCTTGAGATGAAACAAGTAGCTTTCAATATTAGATTGCTAGGCTTAGTCAATAATTAAACCAAATTGAACATGGCATCTCAGTGAGACTTAAATCGATGATTTCATGATGGGTTCAATGGAATCAAAGTGACTCAAGTGAATTCATTGTGACCTAGGTTAATTCTCAACAAATCCAACAAGTTCAATAGATTAGTTCCTCAATCTCGACTAACATATTTCAAACAATAATCAAGTTGACTGGCATAAAGTTTAGCCTAAGTAATATTTTATATTATAGATTTAGTTCCTTGATTCTCTTATATATTTAATTTAAAAAAAAAGAACAAGAGAATAAAAATTAAATTTCAATGCAAAGCTAACATCCTTACTATAATTAAATATATCACTGTTGCAACCACTGCGGACAGTACTTATGATGCTTTCAAGGATATATATGTGTTACATTAGGAGTTGGAAGTCAATTTTTGTCATTTTTATATTCATGAAAACCGTTGGCATCCGTTTCTCCCTTCAAGGGTTATATCCGATTTGAGTGGTGATCCGGCTATATCTCTTTCCTAAAGTGATGATTATCTTCCCTATCCTCTTCTACATCCCTCCCACATCACTCCTGGCCGCTCAGTCCCTGTTGCAGCCACTGTGGACAGCAGCTATTGGTGTATTTTTCCTGCAATTTCTCCATTTCCAGCAGCCTCCCTCCCTTCCCCACATCGCCAACATCCTGCACAACCACCTCCACTCTTCCCCAACCTTTCTACATCACTCCCAGATGCCGATCCTCGCTGCCGCCATCCGAAAAACAGTAAATCTATTGTTTTCCTGCTGTCCAACCACCATTCTGACTTGCTGCAGCCGGGATTGCAACCTATCCTACAGTCTTCCCCAATCTTTCCACATCACTCCCAGATGTCGATCCTGCACAGCCACATCCACTCTTCCTCAACCTTTCTACATCACTCCCAGATGCCGATCCTTGCTGCCGCCATCCGAAAAACAGTAAATCTGTTGTTTTCCTGCTGTCCAACCATCATTTTGACTTGCTGCAGCCGAGATTGCAACCTATCCTACAGTCCCCACTTGCTTCCCCCACACCAGACAGCAATCCTCTTGCTGTCCGACATTCCACAGCCCTTCCCCTTCGCTGCTCCTCACTGTCCCAGACCTCAGTTTCGCTGACAAAGCAATTTCCGACCCTCTTTTTGCTGTCTCAACCACCCACAACACATTTCAGCTACCGACCTCAGGCCTCCATCACCACTGGATTGAGCCCTAGGGTGAGTTTGTGTGGTGTTTGTTGTAATTTTCCTTTTAAATGTGTTTGATTATAACCACTTATTTGCTTTTAGTAATAATATTTGAATTTCTTATTGAGTTTTGGGTTAACCCCGATATCATCAAGTGGACCAGTCTCCAACTTATTTTGTAATAGGAGGTAAACATAGAATACAGATCCAAGAAATAAGAAGAAAAGTGTCAATGTTGGAGATCAAGCAAATGTAAGAGAGCATTGAAGTGCCAACTTCTAATCTCAATCAAGGAAGCTCTAGTTCCTCCGACTAAAGATTTTGAAGCTTTAAAGAAAATGGCACTCTCTCTTTAAACTCATATAAAACTTGAGAAGTGAAAAACCATTTGGAAAACTAATAAACTTCAAGAATAAAAAAAGATCCACCAATACAACTTCATAGAAAATATTGTTATTTATCAAATCACCTAGATACCATTTTGAGTGAAACTGCCAGACAAAGAGAACCCATGAGAACCTTTCAAAAAGACCTAATAACTTGCTACCAAATCCAACATTAACACAACTAATTAGTATGGTGAGGCATATTGGTTGTGGTGAGTATGAAGCAAAGCTTGTTGCATTCGCTCGCAATGTACCGAAGATTGTTCCAATTAGAAGCAAAGGTAATTCCCTTTCCCTAAGGGTTTAAGGGATTTTATTCAACAAGCTTTAGTGTCATTCAACCAAATGAGTTATGAGAAGACGGAAAAAGCCACCATGGACAAAAAGAGCAACGAGTAGTCGTAGCATGACAGGAACCTAGCAAAGGCAAAAATGAGACAATGAATAGTCAACCAAGAAAATTTTTCAAATGAAGAGGATATGCCCGTAGTTCAAGAAAATAAATAGATGAATATGCATCAAAGATTCCCAATGATGCTCTAAGTGCAAGGGAATAAAATACATTGCCATGATTTCCCTCTTAGAAATCCAACCAAATGGCATTTGAACTCGCCAACCGAGGAATAACCAGCGCCCAAATAAAAGGTGTTTGAATAGATCATGCCAATAACTAAATCACAAGGAATGGCAAGTTTGTCAAGCCCAAAGAGTTTACAATGGCCAATTAGGAAGCCTAAGAGAAACCTAGCTAGGTAATGAGGACATTATACCTCTATGGAAAGCATGTGTTAATATGATTTGGTTTAGGCGTATCTCTTTCTACGGTTATTAAGCCTGCATTTCACGACTCAAAGGCTAAATCACACTCATTAAGTAAAAGATTATTTGTCATGTTGTCAACTAGAGATGGTATTAGCATTTTTGTTGTGTGCATGAATCCGCTCAATCAAGATAAAAAAATCTTGTTCTTTTTTTATCATTCTAACCTCTGATTGAGTTTGATACGATATGATGATTTGGCTACTACAACGTCATGCCATGATTAATTGAATGGGAAGCGAGTTCAATTCAAATTTCCCCATAGCCTATCATCACTCTATTTGGAAAAAGTAAAGTAATTCTGTCAAATATCTATAATTGAAGATGATAGACTATTTTTTTAAGAGATGTCACCATCTAGGTTGCATCAAAGATTCCAAAAAGAAGGCAGTCTAATGTATGATGTGCTTATTGTTTGAGACTGTCAAACCAGCATGATTGAATTACAATCCAACCATAAAATATAATTTATTGCCATAGACGACACAAATTTTCAAAAGAACTCTATTAGATGGTGATGTTTCAATGGCAGATGATGAAGAATCAACAACATGATTTGCAAGAAAATAAAGTCATTTGACCAAGCATTTTAGCATGAGAAGCTCCAATCTTTTTTTTTGAGAGAAAAAAGGATAATGGCATGAGAACAGGCATTATACACCATTAGCAAAACAATGTAACTATCAAAAACAAGTGCCTCCTTCCTTCAATCAATGATCTCTTCAATCAATTGCAAGCAAAAATAATAACCTCCAAGATCAGCCTAGAATAGGTATACCCATCAAGCCCAAGTCAAAGAAGCGGGACATGCATAAGACTGCCTTTTATACATGTGATGGCTGCTAAAAGTTCCATGTCAAACCTTTCAAACTAAAAATGGCCCAGCAGCATTCATTGACTTGATAAAAAGGGTAACTTGACGCACGGGCATCAATTTCTAATAGCTTCTATTGGCGATGCCCTATTCAAATCCAAGGACAGAACCTTGTGCTAACAGTCTTTACGGAACTCTCAAGAACCATAGATTATATGCAAATTTTTACAAATACAAATTCTAGCTAAGCAACACTGTTTTCTCAACTTTTGTTATCATGACTACAAGAATATAGATAGGCCCTCAAAAGATTATAGTTGTGGTTGACTAGCCAAAATTCACGAACATGCCAACGGTTTGAAGCTTAATTAGATTAACAACATACTACACGAGGCTTGTCCAAGCATTCTCCTAGAAGGCATCCCCCTTCTCAACCGATGCAAGAGTTTATCGAGTTTGAATGGACAAAAAATCTGTGAAAAGAGTTTGAATTGTTAAAGGACTGTCTAATCACAACATCCCACTTCTAGATGGATGAATTTCAAGTCTAGAATGATGGTTCCTTAGGACTATGATGTTCAAAGATATGGCATGGTGAATTAATAGCCCGCATCTTGAGATTGCTAAATATGCATTAAAACAATTACCTGGCACATGCTTGGAG